CCCGCCCACTCTGCAGATGCCCTTCAAGCCACAGTGCTGCTCCAGGTGTGGACTGTTTCGCCCAGTCTTGCCCAATCCTGCCCTGCCAGCCACCTTCTAATTAATTTTCTTTCAATGTGCACCAATCCGTGCACCGGGGCACAAGTTGTTATATAACTTTTAGGTGTACAAGTCTTCTATATATATAAAAGCCTAAGCAACCTTTCCATCGTTTGACCAGTAGCTATGACGTGCAATGATCACCAGGGGACAGAAACTCAATGCACAGTCATGGAAACATGGAACAGACTGATGAATCTGAGGGAATGGGGAAGGAGGGGAAGGCAAGAAGAGATTAGTCAAAGATCTTATGTGCATACTAGAAGCCTGGAGCACAGATTTGTACACTAGTGAGGTCCCTTGGCCTGGCCTTTGGGGATCAGGCTGAAACTGGCCTGGTGCATGGATCCATGCACCAGGGGGGGTCTCTGGGCCTGGCCTGCAGGGATTGGGCCAAAACTGTCAGTATGACTTCCCCCAAGGAGTCCCAGATTGCGAGAGGGCATGGGCCTCTAGTAATATATAATACATCATCTGTATAGTGTGCTCACTACCCAAAGCCTAGTCACCTGTATCATCATATATTTGACCCACAATACCCTTTTCATCCTCCAAACCCCTTCTTTGGAACCTACCATACTGTTGTCTGTGTCTAAAAGAGGTTCTTGATTTTAAAAATTTTTATACTTCTTTAGTTATATATTTCTACTAATTCTAAGTTGGAGAACTCAAACACTGAAGAAAGGTGATTATTTATATCTGAAAAATATAGTGTCTTTTTAAAAAAGCATCTCTTTCTTAGTAATATAAAGTATGCTGTGTTAAATGGGAGAAGGGATACACCCTATTGCCTGTATTTAATGGTCTTACAAAATATTTCTTCTTTTTCTTTGACAGTTCTGTTGAGTTGGAAGAATTGGGGAAAATATCTGGACCATTGAAAAAATGGATTTTATAACTGGCTTTAAAACTAGGCCAAGGAAGTAATTTTTCTGCAAGTCAGATTTTTAAAGAAAATGCATCCCTTGGGTTAGTCTTCGTTTTTGACATAGTATCATCCTTTCTTAAATGCCTGTATTTTCAGATCAATAGGGAGATGACATAATAATTATATGGTATCTATTTCAATTATTTTTCATTTTTATAAGTAATATTAAATTTTTTATCAATTAAATTTTTGGCAATTTATTTTTACCTTTTTTTTCTTCATAAAGGAAAATTACCTTAACTTTTTTACAGTCTAAAACAAACACAAAAATATTATTCTCCTCAGTTAATACATAAATGAAAATTACATTTTTCCCCTTATTGGCATGTATCTGCAAACATTGAAGGAGGAGAGAGGTAATATAATTATAAGTTTATTAAATGTGGTGTATACTTGACCAGCTTATCTAAATTGTACATAATATTTGAACTAGCATATGAAATTGTTTTTAATTATTATATTCACAAGTCTGGGATAATTAGATATTATTTTGCATTTGTAACTAACCATGATCATTATTTCTTATAATTTCTTGTACATGTTTATTGTTCTTAATGGATTTTACTTTTGGAAATACGACTTGGTTTTGTTGGAATCAGTTCAGTTTTGTTTTATGTGCCTGTTTGAATTTATAGTATTTTAGTTTCACAGAACACTGCAATGGCAAAGAATGAAAGTGTCTATTTTCCCCTCATAGGAAGATATACCGGGAAGGAAATGTTAGTGTTTTAGTATAGTGTAGTTATTATAAACAGTTCATAACTAGATTTTGATTTGGAAATCTTTACTGGCCAAGGATTAAGTATAAAGATTATATAAATCTTTCCATCATGAGGTTGATAGAAAATATATTTGTTCTGAGTCTAATAAGTTGACCTTTTCTGTTAATTAATGAGGTTGTTGAACAAACTGAATATATGGGCTATAATGCAACTTGTTTTATAGTACAGATATTAGAATTAGGTTTTACTTTTTGTTTAAGTATTTACCATTTATTCCGTTAGGAATAAGAAAAGTTGATTTTCACATAAATTCCTTAGTGTATGCTTGCTATAGCACATCTTAAAGGCCATTGTTAACTAAGTCTACAACTTATCATGCTAAGTCTCTATTCTATCAGGCACCTACAGAAAGACCTCAGTACATGCTTTCACTCCCCTTTGCTCCCATTTCTCATTTCTTATTGGAAATCAATTTGATATAATACAGAAGACAAAATTTAAAGGTCCTTGATAAGACCCCATATATAAGAATTGGCCTCTGGTATCATTCCATCTTTACTTTGTCAGTTCACAGATCAACTTTTTGTTTTAGCATTTGAAAAGTGCATTTTTGAAAACAATGAGTTTTAAGAAGAATAAAAATTAAAATAGTTCCACTTTTAAATTAAGTGATGCATTTTAAAATTTGTAATTCAATAAAGTTTCTTGGTATTAAATTGTATCACATTTTGTCATTTTATTTAACATTGAAGCTTGCTTTTCTTTTTGTTTGCTTGCTTTTCCTCTCCCAACTAGTAAGGTGTTCTTAAAGTACAGTTTTAAGTGATGCCTGCTGGCTTTAAGAAAAAGCTAGTGTTGAACAGTAGTACAGAGGATGTTTCTCTTCTCTTTTTTCTGAATCTTTGGTTCTATTGGTTTTAGCTTTGGTGTCACCTCCAAAACTTTTCCATAGCCCTAGTCAGTTTGGCTCAGTGGATAGAGTGTTAGCCTATGGACTGAAGGGTCCTGGGTTCTATTCTGGTCCAGTGCACATGCCCTGGTTGCAGGCTCAATCCCCAGTAGGGGGCATGCAGGAGGCAGCCAATCAGTGATTCTCTCTCATCGTTGATGTTTTTATTTCTTTCTCCCTCTCCCTTCCTCACTGAAATCAATAAAAACGTATTTTTAAAAATAAAAGATAACTCCTACTATTAAAAAACAAAAAAACAAAAAACTTTCCATAGCTCTAAAGACTCCGTTCTTCACTGTTAGAGTGCTTACTACAGTTAGACTACTTACTAAGTTAGTACTTTAGATGCCATGGGCACGTCTGTCCTTACCTGAATGAAAACTACTAGAGGGCAGGGGTTATGCCTTAAGCAGAATTATGTCCTCTTTGTCTAATGAAAAAAATATGAGACCCCTAGGTAAGGGGTTGATGCCTTAAAAAAGAGAAAACATGTTATTCTCTGGAACAGGAATGAAGGAGGCAGGAATAGATGCCGATCTGTACATATTTATAAGTTACACAGGAAGTTGAAGGGGGCTAGGGACACAATTGTCATAATAGAGTAGGAGGTAAGATGGTTTACCGGGAGAATAAGGGCGAGGGGGTTAGGTTTGGGGTTTGAACAGTCATTCAGAAATCGTCAGGCTGAAGAGCCAGGTGAGGGAGAGCACCAAGAGAAGAGCATCCCATGTCCTGGCCCATGGGATTCGGTTGGGCATCATCCCATACACGGGAGAGTTGCTGGTTTGATTCCTGGTCAGGGCACATGCCTGGGTTGTGGGCTTGATTCCCAGTAAGTTATACAGGAGGCCGTCAATCAATGTTATGCTCTCACATTGATGTTTCTCCTCCCTCCCTCTAAAAAATAAAAAAATAAAAATCTTTTTTTTTTTTTTTTTAATTCCCCCATTTAAGGCTGAAGTGTGCTGTAGGTTCTTGCCAATTTAACCCACTCCTCAAACTATTTCACATTTGGATGTCTTTTGCAGTCACCTCATTTTAGATGTCTTTCCTCTTCATTTTAGTGATGGGTTTCTTCAAGATTTTTAGTTCTACAGACCAGTATTTTTATCAGTAAACTATGAAGTTATTTCATTTGCCTATCATAAAACTACTGGGATTTAAAAACAAAATCCTCGTGTGGGAGCTGAAAGATAACTTGCATGTAGCCCTACTTAATATTCTATTTCCCAAGCATTTGCATGCGAAAAAAGTAAAAATTGAAGTCAAACTCTTGTGCTTAATATTTTTAGAGTGAAAATGCCTGTATTTCTCTCAAGAATAAAATGGAAATATACTTCTTTGAAAGTTTTGCTAGGAACATGACCAAGTTGTGAACTTAAAAATACATTTGTTGCCGAGACCAGTTTGGCTCAATGGATAGAGCGTAGGCTTGGGGACTAAAGGGTCCCAGGTTCGATTCCAGTCAGGGGCATGTACCTTGGTTGCGGGCATATCCCCAGTAGGGGGTGTGCAAGAGGTAGCTGATCGATGACTCATTGATGTTTCTAACTTTCTATCTCTCTCCCTTCCTCTCTGTACAAATCAATAAAAAAATATATTAAAAAAAATACATTTGTTAGGTTGGCAGATTCTGATAAAATAATGGTAACTTTTCAACAAAATAATTTTCTAAACACTGTTTCTCTTACCAAACGTTGAGACTGATGCCCTTCAGAGCACTGCTTTGCATTAACCATGGATAGATACACACGCACATATATGTATTATAATACATACATATATTCTCAGATTAAGGGGGAGTTCATTTTTTTCACAAGAAGTTGTCACATCTTTATGAAATGGGAATTTGGGTCCTGTAATGGCCCTGGTAAGTGAAATATCCAAAACAGCTTGATGGACTGAAGGAGTAGTTGAGAAACAGCTGAATGTCTTCTTCAGGAAGAGAGTAATCAGGTACTGAACTCTCACAGAAAGAAGCAATCCTGGTGCCTGTGGGTGTCTGTGCTCCAGGAGGTGGAGTCTGGTGGTGGATCCCTTGCCATTCGGAACATGCCACTGTTGTAAATGTAAATACACTATCTTTCTTAGGCAGCCATGTTCATTTTTCCATAAGTTGCACTAAAGGTGGCTGCAGTTTACACTGTGAACATGTAGCCTTCTGTGGAAGGAAGCATCTGTTATTAAAACAGCCCATATTAGTCCAGGAGAAGACCCTGTCTGCTACCTCTAAATTCCTTGTACTAGACCTAGTCCATGAGTCTTTATTATTTTATTAATAATAAATATAGTTGATAGCGTCCTATGTTTCATCGGATTTCTCAGATAAGGACTGGAGCAAATCTTTATAGACAGCAGAATTCATGAACCGGGGATATGAGTCTCTGTGCATTAAGGTGTAAATCTGAAGTTGTGCATCATCGAATATGTGTTGGGATGGCTCCACCATGTTTCTGTTGATGACTTCTCTGACTCGGGAGTCTAAGCTGACCTGTCAACAGAAATAAGAATTGTATTAGATACATTTCTCTTTGGAAATCCACCCCAAACTTCCAGAGCTTGTTCTGTTTTTTTTAAAATCCCAAAACAACCAAGGTCACCCAAAAATTGAGCCTGCCAAAGAGAAACCAAACATAATGAACAGAGGTTCTCAAATGGCAGTGGCATCAAAAGCTCCTAGAAGGCTCCTTACACAGATTCTGGGTCCCTTCTGGGTCTGTCTAGTGCCTCTTCCAGTATGTCTTCCTCATTCCTGTCCCACCCCACGGTTGATGGCTTACTGCACCAGCCCTAGAGGCATTGGCAGGGATAGGGCTGGGGAGCTCCAAGTCAAATCCATGTATAACAGCCTTTGACTTCCCAAAACTTTACTAATTGCTTACTGTTAACTGGAAGCCTTATTGGTAACATAAATAGTTGATTAGTACATATTTTGTATGTTATGTGTTTTATATACTAGAGGCCCAATGCACAAAATTCATGCAAGAAGCTCGGCCCTCACAGCCGCAGTAGCTTGCCTTAGCCCTCGCAGCCCTGGCTTCACCCAGGAGGTCATCTGGAAAGTCAGAAGGAAGGACGTCTGGAAAGTCATTTGGCTGTCTGGTCTAATTAGCATGCTATACTTTTATTATTATAATAAAGATATTCTTATAATAAATTAAGGTAGAGAAAAGAAAATATTATTAAATGACAGGGAAGAGAAAATATATTTACAGTACTCTGCTGTATTTATTAGGAAAAGACCTGCCCACTTAAAATCAGGGTTGTTTCCCAGCCAATGTGGCTCAGTGGTTGAGCACTCACCTATAAACCAGAAGGTCACTGTTCCATTCCTGGTCAGGACATATGCCTGGGTTGTGGGCTCAGTCCCCTGTGTGGGGTGTGCAAGAGGCAGCCAATGGATGATTCTCATTATTGATGTTTCTATCTCTCCCTTCTTCTCTGAAATCAATAAAATCTTATATAATAAAAGGCTAATATGCAAATTATCCCCTCGGGCGTTTGACCGCCTGGGAGTTTGACCACTTGCTATGACGTGTGCTGACCACCAGGGGGTGGCATGGAACAAAGGAAGGCCTGGCCAGCAGCTGGCAGCTGAGGGAAAGAAGGCGTTGGCCGGCAGCTGGAAGGCCTCGATTGGCCCTGATTGCCTGCCAGGCCTGGGGACCCTACTTGTGCACCAATTTTGGGCACCAGGCTATATATATATATATATATATATATATATATATATATATATATATATATATATATGATTCATTAAAAACAAAACAAAGCAGGGTTATTGAGGGGTAACTGCACTGTGGATAGGAGATAGAGTCATTTCCTGTTTCGGAGTAGCTGTAACTGTGCCACACACAGAAGGGTTCATTTTATCCATGGGCTCCTGGAACAAGACCTTTCGGTAGGTACGTACCTCTTTAGGAGAAAGAATGGAAATGTAGTCTTCGTATATTGTCCTTGCCTTTTCCTCAATGATGCTTTTATTAGCTTCCTTTTTCAGTTCCTCACACGCCATCCAGAAAAGCATATTGTCTTCACTGAACTCTGTCCGGAGGAATTCGCGGAAAGCGTTCCTTCCTGCCGGGGCGAGCATCAGCTTGTCGAAGGACTGCGCCCAGGCACTGACCTCTTCCAGAGTCGGAGTTGGGCTTTGCCGAGACCAGGAGAAAGGGCAAGAGGGAGCCCTGTTATTGGTAGTCCATCTGGATTTCATCACCAGAAACCTATCTTTTTCCTCCCTGAGAATGAAAATGTGCACTTTGGACCTTTCAGGAAGGGAAAGAGCTGTTTTTGTTTCCTTAAGCCTTTAGCAAAAACACATGAGTTGGATCCTTTCACATTGTTTAGCTGGATTGCATGGCTACTGCCCAAAGGCTGGGTAGCCAAATTGCTACAGTAACTGCTCAGCACATACTTGTTTATGTCTAAGCACGTCCTGGAAAAGTCTTTAAATTATAGAGGAAAAGAAAAAAAAATCCTATAATCATCTGAGCAAAAGCTCCCTAGTGACATGACAGATCTGAGTCAACTCTGACCACACTGACTTCCAGAATAGCAGTGGGGCAGTATCTATTTAGTATGTGTTAGCACTCAAAGGAATTTTAAAGATGAGAAAAGAATATGAGTTATAGAACTGCAGGTTATGAAGGGTGACAGCAAAAATGGCGGGGTGGCTCAGGGGTTGAGTGTCGACCTGTGAACCAGGAGGTCGCGGTTCGATTCCCGGTCAGGGCACATGTCTGGGTTGCCAGCTCGTTCCCCAGTGTGGGGCGTGCAGGAGGCAGGTGATCCATGGTTCTCTCTCATCATTGATATTTCCATCTCTCTCTCTCTCCCTCTCCCTTTTTCTCTGAAATCAATAAAAATATATTTTAAAACAAACAAAAGAAAAACGAGCATCCATGAATTCACCATTTACCTTAAGAACCAGGCCAATCCATAGCTCACACACTGCCCTCTGGCTCCCCAGGCCTGAGGGAACCTCTATTCTTGATTTTGGGTTTTCCCTGTTCTAGTTGATTTTTTACTTACATTTCATTATGCTGAGGTCAGAAAACACAGTCTGTTTAACAATGACCTTTATTATTTCTTTTCAAGTACCCTATTCCCCTAGTTTCTATGTATGTTTGTATGTATGTATGTATGTATACAAAACAATGTATTTTTTTAGTTTGAAATATGTATTGATTTCAAAGAGGAAGGGAGAGGGAGAGAGATAGAAACATCAATGATGAGAGAGAATCATTGACTGGCTGCCTCCTGCATGCCCCACACTGGGGATTGAGCCTATAACCCGGGCATGTGCCCTGAACTGGGACTCAAACCGTGATCTCCTGGTTCACAGATCAACCACTGAGCCATGCTGGCTGGGCTAGTTGTTTTCTTTTTCTTTTGAGTTTATAAAATTGTCTTCTGCAGCTTGCTTTTTCCATCTAACACCACATGTCTAAGATTCACCCGTGCTGCTGTATGTGGCCCGCACAGAGTTCCTGGGCAGGATTCATCTCTAATTTCTATTCTGTACTGTCCTCATCTGATTTTGGTTTCATTGTTACACTGGCCTCTTAGACATTTGGGTAATTAGATGAGACTCGTGTAATCTTGGAATGATCAATTTCTGAAATGTCTTGTGGAACTAATCTGTGAAACCAACTGGATCCAGTGTTATTTTGTAGGAAGTTGTTATTGGGTTGAATTTTGGGCCCTAAAAAAAGATATGTTGAAGTCCTAGCCCTCAATATCTCTGGATGTGACCTTTTTTGAAAATAGGATTCTTGTAGATGTATTCCATTATAAGGGGTATTCTTACAAACAGAGACAGATACACACAAAGACAAACTATTATCACCCCCGTTTTACACATAAGGAAGCTGAGGCATGTGACTACTAAGCCAACTGCCCAAGGTCTCAAGTTTCCACTGGCAGGAGTATAGCTGGGACTAGATGTAGACATTGTGGTTTCTGATGTATCAGCCTCAAGCTTTGGTAGAGAACACATTATACTGGAATATGTAAGATAAAAGCTGTTTTAAGAAACTTGTAAGTTGTGTAAGATTTTAATGTGCTTTCCAGACTTTTTTATATCTGAGTAGAAATAACTAAGATAAAGAATGAAGAAAAATATTTAACCAATCTTTTAGGGTACTTCCCTTTTTTCTCTCAAAATAACTAAATCTAAACAATAAACATTTCATGCAAAATTTGAACGGTGCTCTTAGGATATTGGTTTTGTATTTGCAATTATATAGGCAAAAATTCCAAGAAAAGGTCTAAGAATATGTACTGTGTTTCCCCGAAAATAAGACATCCTCTGAAAATAAGACCTACTTACAGATTTCCTTCTGAGTGAAATATAAGGCAAACTCCCCAAAATAAGGCCCCCCTAGGCTAAACATGAGAGATTTGGTCCACAGATTCTGAAAGAAATGGAGTCACAAGAAATTCACCAGGAAATTCAGGAATTGGATTGTTATGATGATGTTCCAGAAGATGATGACATGATTGTCATTGAATAAATGAGTAAATTCTTGATACTGTAGGATTCACAGTTTGTCTGGTTTGTGTTGACAACTACCGTACTACCGTACCATATACAGGTAATAAATTTCCTTTATTTTCATTTAACAATAAATGTGTACCGTATTCTTCTTCATGGAAAAATAAGACATCCCCTGAAAATAAGACCTAGCACATCTTTGGGAGCAAAAATTAATATATGACACTGTCTTATTTTTGGGGAAACAGGGTAGGTAAAAGTAAATCAATTGATACTACAGGTGTGAAAAGAGACAATATTAAAATCTGGCATTATGGAAAGTAAATTGTGTGCATTTTCTTAAATTTTAAAAATAATACATTAATGAAAGTATAAATTAATAATTAAGAAAAAGGTGGACTTTTAAAACTTTCCTGAAAACCAAAGTGTATGTTTTATTATAGCCTTTTTTTTTTAAAAGCATACTGAATAAAAATACAATAATGTCATATGCTGTGTCAAGAAGCATCCATTTATATTTGAGATTAGCAGGTATTAAATTAATGATGGAACTGATTTTTTTTCCCTGTCACACAATGAAATAAAAGGAAATCTACAGTGAAAATGTGATGCTGAGTTATGACTTAGTATTACTAAATTGCAGTTACAGAAACTATGTGTTCATTAAAATATATAGATAGAAAAAAAAATAAGGTAGACATTTCTGTCAACTTAGTGAGCTGAACACGTGAGATCTTACCTTTCTTCCCAGGTTGGAGGGTCGTCTCTTCTGGGTTCATGGGAAGCCCTCCTGGGCCCTGGTTCTTGGTTTCTAACGGTGAGACTACACAAAACAAGACATTAACGTGTCAGCTGAGGCCATTCTTTACCAAAGAAAGCTTCTTAACAGCTGTTCTACAGAGAACTCCAGATTACCAAGTGGAACTTCTTTCTTTTCTTCAAAACAGTGACCCTGACTGGCTTTCTTAAGCAAACCATATGACAATAAAGTATCAGCAAAAATAAATTACATTTATAATGAGGTGGTCTACACTTATCAAGAGAGAGCTTGCATTTAGGATAATATTTCTTTTCATAAAAATATGCCCACTACGAAATAATAAAAAGGCCGAAACTGGTTTGGCTCAGTGGTAGAGCGTCGGTCTGCGGACTGAAAGGTCCCGGGTTCGATTCCGGTCAGGGGCATGTACCTTGGTTGTGAGCACATACCTGGTAGGGGGTGTGCAAGAAGCAGCTGGTCGATGTTTCTCTCTCTCTCATCGACGTTTCTAGCTCTCTATCTCTCTCCCTTCCTCTCTGTAAAAAATCAATAAAATATATTAAAAAAGTAAAATAATAAAAAGGTGAGATTATCAGAAATGTTTTGCTTTTGCTTTTTTCCAAATATTTTTATTTACTTATTTCATTTCCTGCACTTTGAAAACAAGTATATATTCTCCAGACTTTGTTTGCAGTCAAAATGGAGGTTTTATATATTGATAGGTACACACACAAAAGTATCAGAGAGTATCAGGAAAGTAAATAAAAATCTATTGTATTGTTCAAGAGAGTTTAAGTTTCCTTATATACATTTAGTACATAACTTTATTCCAAGTATTTTTGTTATTATTGTAAATGGAATTTTTAGTTCTATCTCATCTCCTAACTGGTTATTATTTGTACATATGAAGGCTATTACTTTCTTGATAGTTTTATTAAACCATCATTTACATATCACAAAGCTACAAATTTAAAGTGTGCAATTAAGTGATTTCTAGCATAATTATAAGGTTGTACAACTATCACTAATATCTAATTTTAGAACATTTTCATCATTCTAAAAGGAAGCCCAGCTACCCTGGCTGTGTAGCTCAGTGGGTTAAAGCACTGAAGGGTTGCAGATTTGATTCCCGGTTAGGGCACATACCCAGGTGCACAGGACAATGCCCAACCAACTGGGTCACACCAGCCAGGGCTTTATTGAATTCTTTTGTGTTTGCATCAGTTTAGCTATAATTCTCTTGGGGTTTCCAGGTATATTCTCATATCATCTGCAAAGAGGGAGAGTTACTTATTTTTCAGTTTTTAGGCCTCCAGTCATTTTCTCTTGTGTAATGTCATTGACTGATGGCCCCTATAGTACAATGCTAAAGAGTAGGGTTATCATAGACATCCTCACCTTGTTTCTGTTTTGTTATGGTTTTTTTTTCCTTTTTTTGTTTGTTTTTTGCAATATATTTTCATTATTTCAGAAAGGAAGGGAGAGGGAGAGAAAGATAGAAACATCAATAATGAGAAAGTCATTGATGGCTGCCTCCTGCATGCCCCACACTGGGGATCCAGCTTGCAACCTGGGAATGTGCTCTGACCAGGAATTGAACCATGACCTCCTGGTTCATAGGTCAACGCTCAACCACTGAGCCATGCCAGTCGGGCCTCACCTTGTTTTTGATTTTAGCAGTAATGATTTTAGTTCCCCATTAATATAAAAATGGATTTTTATCATTGCTTTTGAGTTTATCTTTCTATCACCACTGTACTATCTTTTCTATTCCTTTTATTACATCTTTCCTTAACTCTTTTTGCACCATTTCCATTTCGTAAGCCTTTCAGTCTGTTTTCAGCACATCTGCTTAAGAATTTTCAGTGATTGCGTGTGTGTTGCTCTAGTTTTCTTGAAATGCAAAGTCATTAGGAACTCTTGTTGCTTTCATGATGCCAGAGCTAAAAACTGTCACTAAATAATGGTTCCTTAAAACAAAACAAAAACAAACTTGAGAGGCATCTGGGTGGTGTTTTCTCTGCGGGAGCATTAATACTGATTGACTGCCGAGGCTTCTTTTGTTAAGCAGAAAACATTACTGCCCAGTAGGTATGCAAAAGCCAAGAGAAAGTGAAGGATGAATTTGTTACAATATTCCTAAAAGAACTGGAAGTTCTACTGTGAACTAAATAAGTAATATTTATTTAAGCTTTGACATTTTTCCATGTCTAATTTTTTGAAAAGCAGAAATAGTTAAGGAGACAAAGTATTTTTTTAAAAGCTGAAGAATATGTTTTGTGTCAAATTTTAAAACCACAGTTAAAGTATTATTGCTGCAGTAAAAAATAAGAAAAGGTTGATAGAAGCCAAAATAGTTGCTCACTATTCAGTAAAAGAAGACAATATGGCAGTGGTTTAAAAGACACTATTTAATTAATCACAAGCTGGCACAAGAGGCAGCATTTCTCAACCAAAAGCACATAAACTACACAGCCCCAAACCTCACCACGAACAACTGCAACAGCAGCACCAGCAGAAGCAACAGGCGTTGGATCCTCGGTTCCCTACTCCGTGCTGGCCAGGGAGGGAGTCTGATGTCTCCTGGGCTGCAGGCATCTGGCGCTTCAGCATCTCCCTCCGTTCTGAGCCCATCAGCTGCAACAATGAAAGGAAAACTGGTTTGGGTGGGCAGAGTGACCACAACTTGAGCTTGGAGATTCAGTTGTTTGGATCATTGAGAAAATGCAATGTGACTATATCTAGGTTGTTTCCACTAAATCTGATAAAATACAGTGCTCAGAATTAATTTACCAAACGTTCATTTAATGTCCAGCATCTGCAATACACTGTTAATATATTTTAGGAATGAAATCATGAATGGAGGGTCCCTGCACTGAGGCACTCACAGTGGAGTAAAGGAGAGACTGGCCTCACATACATTGAGGACATGCAATAAAGTGACAATGGGATCATTTCCCAGCTCCAGAATTCTCGCTGTGTTGAACCGATGGGGAGCGGTTGAATTACAGTTGCCCACAAGGCCAGAGCAGGGATATGAGAGGAAGCCACACAAAAAATGTCAGGCACAGTAACACAGCAGGCTGAGAAGCCCGTAGGGGAGGGGCACGGCGGGGGTGGCTGCACTTAGTTATAAAATCAATCAATCAATCAATCAATCAATCAATCAATAAAGTCACAGAGATATAAAGTACAGCCCAGGGAATATATTCAATAGCCCTATATAACAAAAGGCTAATATGCAAATTGACCAAATGGCGGAACAACTGGTTGCTATGACATGCATTGACCATCAGGGGGCAGATGCTTAACACAGGAGATGTCTCCTGGTTGTCAGTGGGCTCTCACAGGGGGAGCGCTGCTCAGCCAGGAGCCCGGCTAATGGCTGGTGAGCACAGCTGTGGTGGCAGGAGCCTCTCCTGCCTCCATGGCAGTGCTAAGGATGTCCGACTGCCTAAGCCAGCAGTCAGACATCCCTCAAAGGCTCCCAACTGTGAGAGGGTGCATGCCAGGCTGAGGGACCCCCTAGAGTTCAAGAATTTTGTGCACCAGGACTCTAGTATTATAATAACTTTGTGGGTTTAAAAATATATATTCTTATTGATTTCAGAGAGGAAGGGAAAGTGAGAGAGAGAAAGAGAGGGAATCATCAAACATGAAGAGAGAATCATTGATTAGCTGCTTTCTGTCTGCTCCCTACTGGGGATTGAGCCCACAAGCTAGGCATGTGCTATATCCAGGAATCAAACCGTGACCTCCTGATTCTTAGGTAGGCACTCAACCACTGAGCCATTTTAGTGGAGCTATTATAATAAGTTTGTAATAGCTTATAGGAGACAGAATGTTACTAGACAACGTGGTGAGGACTTTGCAATTTGACATAAATGTCAAATTACTATGTTGTATACCTGAAACTAATATAATAACATTGTATGTCACCTATAATAATAACTTAACTAAAGACTGTGGAGGATGGAAGTCCTGGGGAAGCTGCCTGGTTCTGAGGCCTACTGACATATTCCAATCTTCACTAGCTGCGAAACATTGAAGGAGTTACCCAACTTGGTAGTGCACTTAGAACCTGCCTGATATGTAGTGTTGCTCAGTTATTCTCAGGAAGAGAGGCAGGACTGTGGTCTGTAGCCTATTCCGGCCTGTCCTGCCATCTCCAGGGACCGTCACACTGGCCTACCTCAGTGGAGATTAAGCCACTGGAAACAGTCTGTGCCCCTCTCCTTTTTCAGGGGACTACAAGGATGATTGAAAAAGAGAAGCATAAAACTAGTGTAAGAAACAAGAAATTGCGGAGTCCTTTTTTACTTTTGATATTATCGTTGAATTGTCAGTAAAGGCAGAAAAATATCAAAGCTACATTAAATAACCTCAAATAGGACTGTGAAATTAAAATCTGAATATTTTTATTGATTTCAGAGAAGAAAGGAAAGGGAAGGGGAGAAAGAGAGAGATAGAAGCATCAATGATGAGAGAGAATCATTGATTGGCTGCATCCTTCATGCCCCACACTGGGGATCAAGCTTGCAGCCAGGGCATGTGCACTGACCAGAAATTGAACGGTGACCTCCTGGTTCATAGATTAACGCTCAACCACTGAGCCTCACTGGCCGGACTGGGTTTGTTTTTCTAGTCCAGCATTGGGTTTATTTCTTCCTAGTATTACCTATTCTAATATGCTATTGGACTTTGTTTTAATTATTATAGTTTGATTATATATTTTTATATTAGGTAAGTAGAATTCCTTTCATGAACTAGAAAAAAAAATTGGTTTTGTCTGTCCTCGTCTAGTTTTTCTTCCATTTGAATTTTGGAATCAGTTTGTCAAGGTCCAAAAAAATACTACTTTGGGATTTTGACTAGGACATATGGAATTTATAGACTTATTTATGACACATGTCATCTGCTTTAGTACCTGCCAAATCAGGGTCACTCCTTTGGATTTGCTCTTTTAACTATTCTGAGCTGTAAGTTCCAGGACAGCAAGAGGGCCTGTCAGTGTTTTACCATCCCTTCACCCACAGCCAGAACAATGCTCACAACACCTGTCCACAACACCTGTCCTGAGAGCCCAGCCTCCGAGCAGTCTCAGGCCCTTGAGCTGGTGCAGCTCACTTGGCCAAAGGTGGAGGCAGAAGCATTTGCCGAACTCACAGCTGGAGGACAGACCATACCCCCTTTGCTGCCTCAGGGGAGAAACTTTGGGCTCCTCTGGACATCACCTTCGCACAACGTCCTGGGCAGCAGTTCAGTGGGACACAGACCTGGTTTCACCTCATTGAGGACACAGAGGGGCAGGGCCAAGCCGCACAGTCTTCAAAGAGCCCAGAGCAAAATTCTGGGTTTTCAAAAACTTCTGTTTTGGGGGTTTTATTGTCTGAATAATTTAGGAGCTATTTTAAGAAAAAGCTAATTCATTGTTCTAGTAGGGGAAGTCAACTGAAAGCTTAATGATAACAATGGGCTTTTTAGAATTAAAATTACTTCCAGATGGATGCTCACACATGCCGTTACCCTTTAGAAACTACTAAAGTATGTTACCATCTGTTTTAAAGGGACTTTGAATGGAAATCTTTACTCTTTTGTTTATATAGCTGTCGCCAAGTTTGTAACGTAAGCTACCCAAGATTTAAAACTATAATAGTAAAGTCTTTCTCTTCTCTTCCGCTGTTACTAAACGAACATCTTGCAAAATAGCAAAAGGGAGTGAATGGGTAGGCTTTTTCAGGGAAATAATAGTTTGATTTTAGACATGAATTTTCCATGTTGCAGACATTTTGTCCTGTTTCCCCCTTATAATTTGTAATTTTGTAACCCAATTTTTACAAGTGCCTTTGGGAAATATTAGAAGTAAGGAATGAGTCTGACCTTAAGGAAATTAATAAATTGTGCATGTTTTGACTTGTTCTTTCTTTCTTTCTTTTTAAAATATATTTTATTGATTTTTTTTACAGAGAAGAAGGGAGAGGGATAGAGAGCTAGAAACATTGATGAGAGAGAAACATCGACGAGCTGCCTCCTACACACCCCCTGCTAAGGATGTGCCCACAACCAAGGTACATGCTCTTGACTGGAATCGAACCCAGGACCTTTCAGAACCGCAAACCAACGCCCTATCCACTGAGCCAAACCGGTTTCAGCCTAACTTGTTCTTTCTTAATACCAGTCAACTCTCGGGTGCATTTTGCAACCTCTGCTGGAAATCTTTATTAGGGGATTTCTTAGGTCAGAAGACCATGGGATTTCTCAAGGTTATGGCCCATTTGTGAATTCCCAAGGACAACTTAGGCCAGGGCACCTCTGAAAGTACCACAATCTTGTCTGTAGTGCTGCTTTAGTGAATCTCCAAATCGCTAAAAATGTGTCAGGCAGTCATTAGCAGTTTGCATGAGACGTCCTGCCAGCTTTGTCCTATTTCACAGCTAGGAATAGGCTAGGAATTCTTGCTAGGAATAGGCTCTCTAGTAAGAATTTCTGAGCAATCATTACAAATTATAGGGGGTTGCAAATATTTTGTCCCGGTTCAGGGCAAATTGGAAAAATTCATCTCTAAAATCGAACTACCATTTCCCTGAATAAACCTGCCCATTCACTCCCTTTTTCTATTTTGGGAAGCAGCGTTATATCCATCCAGCCATTGAAGAAAGCCTGAAGTTACCCCCAGTTCCTCCCACTGCCACCTCATGGCAAACCATGTGAAGACTTTCTGCCAGGATGTCTTTCATGTCCATCCCCTGTCCTTTCTCCAGGGCCATGTCAACATCCTGGGCCTTGAGTCATGAAGGAAGTCTCTACTACTCAGTTCTTGCCTTGGATCCTTAGGAAAAGGGTAACGTTCTGGAAGGAACTATGAGAGAGTTTTGAAACCTACATAAATCTAGAGCCCAGAGGTATCATGCATTATGTACTCTTCGCCGTGACCCTAAGAGTGTGAACTGAAATTTGGAGTTAGTTTAAATCCTCTACAAAGCCACACTTTTATGAAAGTGCCTGAAATGAGGATGGAAGCAATAGAGCATTACAAATTAAATCAATTTCCTCTTTGATTCTGAAGTGAACCAGGGAACTTATCTGCCCAAGGAACGAAAGGATAAAGGTCCTGCTGTGTTCTCCTAACCTGTTAACCGAGCGGGATGTATAAATACGTCAAACGTAAAGAATATTGGGTACGGGCAGGACATATGAATATCCTTGAAATATATGTTGCGCCCTGAAACAGGCAGGACATATATTTCTGAACAACAAAGGTATTAGTCATCCATACATGTCTCGACATGAATTTAAGACATGGAGGGAATCAGTATAATTTCGCTAGTGAGAGTGGTGGACATGTTCAACAAGAATTGTTTTGGAGTTAACACATGACTTACTGAATAAAGGGTATAGGACTTACTTAGATAATTTCTATACATCAATTCATTTGGCTGAACTCTTGTGTCAAAACAATACAGACATTGTTGGAACAATGAGGATAAACAGAGTCGGAATCCCCAGTGAAATAAAAACAAAAAAATTACAGAAAAATGAACATATAGTAAGATTCAAAGACAAAATTATGGTTTTAAAATGAAAGGATAAAAAAGACGTATTGATGCTCAGTTCTATTCATAATGACGAGAAGACAA